AAGCTTTGCGTCCCTAATTGTTCTTTGCGAGAAGTTTTTGTGAGGGAAGCACATTGTGGGGGGCTTATGGGACACTTTGGTGTGCCTAAAACACTTGACATCCTTGCTGAATTTTTTTTTTGGCCTAATATGAGAAAAGATGTAGAAAGATTTTGTGCTCAATGTCTTAAATGCAAACAAGCTAAATCTAAAGTGTTGCCACATGGTTTATACACGCCATTACCTGTGCCTATTTCACCTTGGATTGATATTTCTATGGACTTTGTGTTAGGATTGCCTAGAACAAGGTATGGTAAGGATAGCATCTTTGTTGTGGTAGATAGGTTCTCAAAAATGGCTCGTTTTATTCCTTGTTTAAAGACTAATGATGCTTCTCATGTTGCTGATTTATTTGTTAGAGAAGTTGTTAAATTGCATGGTATACCTCGAACTATTGTTAGTGATAGGGATGCTAAGTTTCTAAGCCACTTTTGGCGTGTGCTTTGGGGAAAATTGGGAACAAAATTGTTGTTTTCTACTTCTTGTCATCCACAAACTGATGGGCAAACTGAGGTAGTAAATAGAACCTTAGGAAATATGTTAAGGGCTGTTCTAAAAGGAAAATTAACTTCTTGGGAGGATCACTTGCCTATGGTAGAATTTTCTTACAATCGAACTGTTCATTCATATACTGGTTATTCTCCTTTTGAAGTTGTTTATGGCTTTAACCCCCTTACACCCCTTGACTTATTGCCTTTGCCTACTAATGAGATGGTTAGTCTTGATGGAAAAAAGAAAGCTGATTTGATGAAGACTATTCATGAGCATACGAGACTTGCAATTGAGAGGAAGAATGAGCAAACAACTTTACGAAGAAATAAAGGTCGAAAACCAGTTATCTTTGAGCCTGGTGATTTGGTTTGGGTTCATATGAGGAATGAGATATTTCCTTCAAAAAGGAAGACAAAATTGCACCCTAGAGAAGATGGGCCATTTAAAGTACTTGAAAGGATTGGAGATAATGCTTACAAATTGGACCTTTCAGGTGAGTTTCAAGTAAGTGCTACTTTCAATGTTGCTGACTTATCCTTATTTGATGTAGGTTCAAATTCGAGGATGAATTCTTTTCAAGAGGAGGTGAATGATAGTTCCACAGACAAGGATAACGCTTTAGAAGCACCAAAAAAGCCATTCACAAGGTCTCAAGCTAAGGAGAAGCAAGACAAGGTTGTTGGGCTTCAATGGGAGATCAAGAAGGAGCTAATGGTGGAAGAAGAGCTTAAGAATTATGGAGAGGACTTAACTAAGTGCTACACTCATTTCATGGTCCAAGTCCAAGTCCAAGAGGTGGTAGATTGGGGTCCAAGCACCAGCCAAGGAGGGTCTAAATTAGGCACCTAAATCAACCTACAAAGGAGCTAACTTGGCGCCTAAGTCAGCTCAAGGAGGGGCGGCCAAGACATAGGAGAAGGAGTCAAAGTTCCTTATTTTGTTTTCTAGTTTGTTAGGACATATTTGATGCTTTCCTAGGTAGATAAGGCTTTGTTTTTATTTTCCTAAGATTATTGGAATTACTCTCCAAGATTGACTTAGTTTTTATTTCCTAGAGTTTTACCTTTTCCTATGATAGTTGGACTTGTTGTCCAAAGTAGTTTAGGACTTTATTTCCTTAATTTTTAGGTAGAATTTCGTGACCCCCTCCCTATATAAAGGGGTGTCTTCTTTCCTTTTAGACTTAGACTATTATCAATAAAAATTATGAGAATTTTCTTGCACTCTTGTGTGTGGCTACTCTTGGATTTATTCTTCAACCTTCAAGACTCAACTTAAGGTGGTAAGATTAAACTCTTTTGAAATCTTAGATCACTTCTAGGTATTCAAGAAAGGTGATAAGTTTAGGCTTATTGTTGTTCTTGTTATTCTAAGGGGTCGGGTTTCACAATCTATCTCTTGTTTTTAATTCTCTACCAAAGGCGATTAGTTCTTTGTTAGCTAATTGTTGTTGTTAGGATTCAACTTCAAGAATAGACTTCTTTAATTCAAGAAACTCTTTGTTGAATTCAATCTATCTTTATTCTAAGGGGTCGGGTTTCACAATCTATCCGTTGTTTTTTTGTTTCTTTATTTTCTTTTAGCTTTCGCACGTTTCTTAATTTTCTTTAATAATTCTTGGACCCCTATCGTGTTGTTATTAGCTGGCCTGAGGCGCATCCCATCCCGCCCGACTACGCTATCAGGATTATCCCATAACGTCGCCTCTTTATCGGAGGATGCGCTGTAGCATGATCGTCGGTAAGGTTGGCAGACTTGGTAGATCCGGCCATCGGGCCGGCAGTAACCTATAGATTAATAAGATATTTTACTATATGAAAAAATAATTACTAACGTACGTGTTAGGAAAATAATTTAATGGTTATACCATGGTCTTAGCGGGCTCCTAAATAAGATCATCTGTCTCTGGCATCTCAGTATCGCACAATGCGGCCTCCGTGACGAGCGTTGTCGATGTCTTTAAAAAAAAATAAAAACGCTTTAGATATTACTGACTAATCAATGAGATAAAAACAAATAGAAATAACAGTAATACAAACAAACCTGCGCATGAGTAGCATTGTAAGGCTCTATCGGAACATCAAGGTGCACTGGAGTAGATGAAGTATGCGCTAGATCCTCAGCATCCCTCGGTGATGAGCCATAACTTAGTCGTTGCCCACTATGCACCTCTTGTGTCGGACGAGAATCAGCAACCGTCGATGGCTCTGGGGGATCAGGAAAATACTGATCCCACTCCTGTCGCCTAATGGCCATGCCAACGATCAATAATGGAGCTGATGGGGTCACCTGCGAAGTCTCTGGCGACAACTGAAGGCTGAATGACGGCATGTCATGATGAGCATCATGTGGCTCAGGGTGGTCACCTGAATGATCGTCTATAATATCGTCCATGGGTGCCTTAAGGCCCCCTTGCTGGAGACCCCGTCCTCGCCGACCACCACAACCTCGTGGGACACCTCTTCTTCTCTGCCTACATGTACAATGTCTACCACGTTCACGATCCACTGGTGGCCCATGATGGTACTCTTCTAGAGGCACATAGGCAGTCTCATATCCTATGCGCTCATCATTTTGGGCACGCCTCAATATCTGGGCAGCCAGATCTGTAACCTGCCAGCCATACTCATGCAAATATGTCGCTCCCTCGCCGGTATGCTGCAGCATCTATAGTCCCAACTGGTAGAACTGATGTAAGCCAATAGCCTGCATAACATGTAAAATATTAATTACGGAAGGATAATTTAATGTTATAAGTAAGTATAACAAATAACATGCCAGTGCCTCATGCCTCCCGGCGTATGGAATGTACCGACCACCAATGCGATGAACGGGATTCCCGATGAGAAGTCGGGTAACGCTGCAATACAAACCTATATACTCATGCTCGCCATCCGTATGCTCAGGTGGAGGGGGTGTTCCGAATCGAATCTCTTTAGAAAGAAGATCTTTTGTCTCATGGTAACCTTTTTCGCTATGGCTTGAGAGTTAATCGCACGAGAGAGTAAGTAAGAGATTGAAAAGAGGATCATTAGACCTCGCTCTCGGGCCCAGAGGCAGAGCAAATCCCTCGGTGTGGTCAGTACTCCATACTGTTGGGCAGCGAAGCTTACACTTGTTCACTAATTATGACGGACCTACACGAATGGTGTAACGACTGCCCCGCTGTCTCCGACATGGACCCGATGAAATTGAATTCTCCGTGAAGATGCGGAGTACTAACGGCTAGACGGTAAGACCCCAAATAAATGAAATGGGATGAATCAAATCAATAAGCTTTTTGATTGATTCAAGGCANGCTCTTAATGCAATATCTGGTGGTGAAGACATTCCCGCTGCTACAATTGGAGTTGACGGTCCTAGTTCTGTTACAGTAAGAGCTGTTGCTGGAATAACCAGTGCTAGTTACTTGACTGTTGGAGGAGAAACCACTGTTAGAAATGTTCACGTAGAAGCTCCTCTTTCATCTGCAGGTATAGACTTCTTTGGATCTTATCCGCTTCAGAGGTTAATCAATAGGGAAATCCGCATTTTTTTTATCTTCCTCTAAAAAATTCTTTTTCATGGGCATCTTCTATTCAAAAGGATCTTACTCAATTCAATAGAAACTTAACTTCTACCCCACTTTTTTTCTTTTCAGGCTAAATTGTTGGGACGGACTTTTTATAGGGATTCAAGCTTGCGAAATGCTTTATCATTCTTACTCTTGAGTAAAACTAAACTGGCTTTTGACACAGGTGCGAAGCAGATATGGGTCCGGACGACCCAAGAGCCCGCCACTAGAACAGAATCAGGTCATACCTATGGTCCCAAATCTCAATTTGGGCTTCTGGCGAGGCCACATATGTCTGGTCAACCCTGGAACGATCATTCCGCTGGTAATGTGTCTTAAGCCAAGTGGGCAGAATAGGTACAAGCTACGGTCGACCAAACTGGCAAAGGACTCACTCGGTGGCATGATGCTCGACAATATCGAGACATATCAGTGGGACGGAAGAGCTCCACATAGATCGGCTGTGGGAGCAATAATCGGGCAAACCATCTATGAGCGTGTCGTTGTATGGCCTCCATAAGAACTATTAATTAAACACAGGAATCGTGAGTAAATACAACACATATAAAGCCAGGCCAAGTAAACTTAAGTATACACGTACCTACGCGCCTTCAAGCAAATCTAACAAATTACCGTAATAGGGGATATGATGTCGAGCCTCGAACTCGCATCCGTAGCCTCGCCTATCAACCCACCTCCAAGCTAAAGGGAGAAACGGTGGAGGTGGTGCATCAAAAGCGATGGATGGTATAGGTGGCTGGAACTGCTCCCGTGCCCAAACCTAATATAGATAGTGGACGTAAAATTTAAGGTATTATTTTACTATGTATGTTATAATCATGAAAATAAGTGACTATGTTTTCACCTGCAATAACGGTAAAAATCCGGCAACGTCTCTCTGGGTGCCCATGCTAGCCTAGCACATCTGCTTATACAGGTAACCTAGCATAGCTATACCCCAACTGTAACCAGGTAAATCATCTAGCCACTCAAGATGATGTAGAAATCTCAAGTTGACTAGATTTTCTGAAGTGTTCGGGAATAGTACACCACCAAACATCAGCAGCAGCAACAATCTCGTGTGCCTGTCGATAACCTCCGGCGGTGAATAATCCATAATCTTTGCTTCCATCGCCTCCAGATGCTGTCGGATGGGCATCAGCTGCAAACTACTGGCCCCACTCAATGCCATCTCCTCCACTGGTTGGAAACTGGTGAGGCGCTGCAATATATGCAGGTAATGCAATCCCTTATAGTCTCTAAGAGTATGCGGGTAAGCTACAGGTTATCCATTAACCGACAGCCCGAAGAGAACATCCACATCCTCAAGCGTGATGGTAGCCTCGCCGATGGGTAGATGAAATATGTGCGTCTCCGGTTGCCATCGCTCTATCATAGCCGTGATCAACGCCCAGTCGAACTTCAACCGGCCAATCTCTATGATCCTGTAGAAACCCGTATCCTGAAGGCGCCTAACTATACGGGGATGTAGTGGGTGGTCCCTAATGAACTCCCACATATTGTCTATACGTCTGGGGTGGAATGTCTGGGACAAACACTGGCCATCTCATATGTAGGAAGACCTATGGTTGGCCTGTAGCAACAGTAGCTCTAGAGATGCAGGTTCGGGATGCACAGGGGGAACCTTCATGACGATGTCTGTAAATTAAAAAATATTAATTAAAGTATTTTTCTTTTTAATTGCTTAACATCTTTAAATATATTGCAATATCTTTTATATTAATATTTAGTCAATATTTTTACTATATTATTACTTAGGTTGATACATTTTTTATATTATAATTTTAAATATTAATTTATTATTTTATATGTTACATTATTATTTTATATGTTAGTTTATTATTTTATATGTTAGTTTATTATTTTATATCTTTGATTCTTATTTTATATGTTAGTTTATATTTTATATGTTTGTTTATTATTTTATATGTTAGTTTATTATTTTATAAGTTTCTTTCTTATTCACCTTTTTCGGGTATAATAGAATTAAATAATTAACTTTTATATGAATACATGATTTAATTAATAAGTATTCATATACAAATAATTAGTTTGACAAATATTATTATTTTTTATGTTATTTTCTTACATATGTTGACTAGAATTCGAGAGAGTTTGGGTTTGAACTATCATTTTTTTTCCAGATATTTTTGGGGTTAACAGATAATTAATGATTAATTTCAATAACTACAAAGATACTACGCTAAAGGGCACTACATTGTACTATGCTAAAGGGCACTACATACAGTTATGGGTACTACATTAAAATTATAGGAACAACATAACACTAAAGGGAATTAAATAACATTAATTATTCATAAAATAATAATTTATCTATTTTACTAATATTTTAGCACATAAATAATCTAATCTGGATAACAAAAAATAAATTAATTTAATCACAAAACAATCACGAAAATACATATACCACAGTAAAAAATAAGTAATAAATATCTTTTATAACAACTAATAAAATTAATTATTCATAAAATAATAATTTCTCTATTTTACTAATTTTTTTAGCACAATAATAATCTAATCCGGATAAAAAATAACAAATTAATTAAATCGCAAAACAATCACGAAAGAACATATATCACAGTAAAAAATAACTAATAGGCATTTTTTTATACATGAGTTTTAACAAAAAATAAGTCGGAATACCTCGATTTTAATTTTTTGAAAGGTGACGATTTGATGATTTGGGGACCGAAACGAGCAATCCAATACGCGATAACGCCTTAGATCCGATGTTAGCTTGCTACAATAGCGAGAATCTATACTTTTTGGGGGACTGGTGGGCTCCAATGGAGTTTTCTTTGCNGGGGGGGGGGGACCGCTGGGAATTAAAAATGGGGAGTTGTTGGTTCGTGTCTGGCGGGGGAAGGAGATGACACGGTTTTTTATATAGGTGTAGCGCGCATATATAAGGCGCTACACTATAGCGCGTTATATATGCGCGCTATACCCCCCGCCCATTTTAAGATCAAATATAGCGCTGTTATTCACCGCGCTATAGCTTAATGGACAAAACTGCCGTTAAAGTATAGCGCGGTTATTATAAAATGGTGCCCAGTTTTTTTGTTAACCTGTTTGTGTCTCTTGAGTCCAAAAAGACCACAATTAGGTTTCGGACTCTACCAAACACACCCTAGGTAAATAGCCATTTTCTTAACTGCTGATTAAGATTTAGCCACAATTTCAAATATAAATAGAATTTAACTATACTTTATCATTAACTGGATAAAAATACCCCAAATATTAAATAAAGAAAACCTACGACTTTTTCTTTGCATCTTCCGTTACTCTTAACACTAAACAACATAAATCTTTTGATTTCATCGGTATCGGTAATAACCTGCGATGATAGTACTCTCGAAAATTGCAGAACATAAGCATGGGTGGATGGGATAATATTATTTGTATTTGTGTTATGATGAAGATGAAGATGGAGCTTTCTCATATGACATATATGGTGTTGCTCCGGCTTTCTCTATTAGTTTATGACTTTATGCATGAACCATCAGTTTCCTTTCTTTTGTTTATTTTTCATATATGTCATGACCCCAATTTTCCTCCGAAGAATGTCGTGATGACACCTAATCTCTACGATTAAGTAAATCTAACAAATAATAATAACTGAACAAATATAAAGTAGCAAGTTATTGAAAACAACTGAACAATAGATAAAAACCGTTCGAAAATAAAATCTCACACTACACACCCCAAAACCGGTGAAACTGAGTCATAAGCTCTACAGAATACAACTTAGAGTGCTACTACATCACTGTTCGAAAAGAAAATGCAACAGGAAGTAAAATTAGGGAAGGTGACTCCGAGGCCTGTGGATGTGGAGCAGATATACTCTGAAGTCTCCCAAATAACAACTACAACAATCCTCTAACGACCGACACGAGCAGATACCTAGATCTGCACAAAAAAATATGCAGAAGCGTAGTATGAGTACACCACAACGGTACCCAGTAAGTATCGAGCTTAACCTCAGTAGAGTAGTGACAAAATCAGGTGAAGACACCTACTAGGATATAAAATAGACAGTATGAATCTGCAATACAGATATGTAATGGAAAGTGAAAAAGCAACTGATATGGAAAGATAAGTGCAAGAACTAGTACCGGAAACCAATAATAGGTACAACACAAAAGAAGCAACTAAAGTTCCACAATGATCATTTACGAACAACAACTGCTAGAACAATTAAGGAATGGCACATCAAGATATATCTTCCACCAAAAACACCTTGCAACATGAAACGAATAGCAAGAATCACAACGAGGTACCGCTTCGTGTATAATGAAATCAAAACCGAGGTACCACCTCGTATAATCAAGAATCACAACCGAGGTACCGCCTCGTATAATCAAGAATCACAACCGAGGTATCGCCTCGTATTCACGTTTCTCAATTTCAATCATAATCTGTTTTTATACCGCCGCGTGAGCCTTACATTTGAAAATAGGTCTTGGAAAAAGTTTTTCCGAAATAGCTACACGCACTTTAGCCCAACTTATGATACCGCATCGCGTCACGTAGTTCCCCTACAAACAACATGCACATAAGTTCCACCATATACCACTGCATGCACATCAACCCCAATCCTTATACCGCCGCATGCGCGTCAATATCATATCACAATAACAATTTGCACCACAAGTGCCCATATATCACAACGTGCCAACAACAACAAAATCAATATTTTCATAACGATAGTCCATGGCTCCACCATAACGTATACGAGAATATCAACAACAACAATGAATGAAAAATGCTCAATAAGATAGATGTTTCAACAATAACCAACATCACCTCAATATAATAATAACTTTCACTACTTCAATACCAAGTAACTCAACAATGAAAGAAATAATGTATAACCACAATATTAGATAAGGCTAACTTCATAATAAAAGAGATGGTATTCAACAATGAGTCTCAAATAATAAAAATCAACAAGTAAAAGGATAACATAAACAATTATGTCACAACCCGAAATTCTCACCTTCGGGAACGTGATGGCGCTTAACATTTCACTTGCTAGGCAAGCCAACATTAGAATAATTTAAACTATTTTTAACAATTCACCTTAATTAAATAGTATAGAAACCAATAGCCGAAATAATATCTGAATTTAAATAAACAGACCAAAATAATAATGATGTCTAAATACCATCCCAGAACTGGAGTCACAAGTGCACGAGCTTCTAGAATAATACAAATAAGGGTCTGAATAAAAATAAAGATGTCTGAAAGAAAGCACACAACTAAAATAAAGTAGAAGGGGACTTCAGAGCTGCGAACACCGTGCAGCTATACCTCAAGTCTCCTCTGATAGCTGAATCCGAGCAAAATCTACAATACGCCGTTGGGACCAACTCTGGTATCTGCACAAGAAGTGCAGAGTCTAGTATGAGTACAACCGACTCATGCACTCTGTAAGTGCCGAGCCTAACCTCGACGAAGTAGTGACGAGGCTAAGGCATGTTGCTTACATTAACCTGTACGCAATAATAATAATAATAATAATAATAATAATAATAATAATAATAATAATAATAATAATAATAATAATAATAATAATAATAATAATAATAATAATAATAACAGGAAAAGAAGTAAGACCGGTAAATCATATCAATAATTCAAGTCAATTCAGCAGTCATAAACTTTTAATTAATTTTCGTTGTGGCGTGCAACCCGCTCCAACAATATAATCTTTCAATAAATCCGTTGCGGCGTGCAACCCGTTCCAACAATATAATCTTAAAATAAATCCTTTGCGGCGTGCAACCCGATCCCCCAATATATTCATTTTCATTTTTGTTGCGGCGTGTAACCCGCTCCAACAATATAATTTAACAACTCTTAAATGTAATAAAAATACTTCAATAAATACCACATTCAATAAGAAATTATTAGGCAACAAAGAATACAATAATTATAATTTATTTAGGAAACAAGTAATGACAAGTAGCAATTAGTTGTGAAAATCAGGGAGAAAATAGGCAATTTAATATTTAATATGCTAAATGTCAAGTAGCCATTAAAATACATAAGTCAAATAAGCATGTAACAATTATAACATGAATTAAAGACTTAGTATTTGGCAAGGAATATGAGAGAAATAATTAATATAATAATTAACTCATGATAAAGAAAATAATTTATGATTTCCAGATAAATATGCAAACAATCAATTTGACGACGTATAGGCACTCGTCACCTTGCCTATACATCACTACACATGAAATTCACATAACAAATAATTCAAGGGTTCTATTACCTCAAGTCAAGGTTAACCATGACACTTACCTCGTTTTACAATTTCAAGTGATCAATCGACCACAACTTTTCCTTTCGAATTAGTCTCCAAACCAATCAAACCTATCAAATTATGGGCCAACAATTCAGTTGGAGCTTTAAACATTATTCATAATTCGAAAGAGACTTAATTTAAGTCATTTTCGGAAAAGTCGATGT